GAAGGCGATGGAGTGAGGTACGAATTATGAGTTGGGGACCTGGACGAAGATCAATAGCAAATGACGGAGGCGAAGGCGTTGGGAGGAGAGGCAAAGRCCGAGAGGGTGTTGGCAAAAGAGGTGCAACATGGGAGCCAGCAGGTATCGGCAAAAGGGGTGATGTGTGAGGAGGATTAGTTGATGCAGGAATAGGTAGAGCAGGTGAGGGCTGAGTAAAAGGGGATTGCGGAACGAATGGCTGAGGGCCCATTTGTGTCCATCGGGAAGGACGTAAATGCCGCCGTGGAGATGGCAATCTAGCCATTGGAAGGACTGCATTGAAACCGACTGGGTGAAGCGTTCGAAGTTTTCGAACCCAAAAACCCTCGCGGGGTGCAGCAGCCCCCCGAAAGAGGCCATGATTAACAAGACCTCCAGACGTATGATACAGGGTAGGATCGATGCATTCCAGGGGCCAAGCCGCGAAGTTGAATGATGGTTGCCCACTCATTGTGCGGTAGAAATGGCGATGGTGAAAAGTAGCAGAAGAGTGTCGTGTATGCCAATGCTCTTGCAGCCTTTGGTGTGCAGAATGCATCGTCTGTCCAACATAAAAACGACCAGAAGGTAAATGAACAATTGCATAAATCACTCATCAAACAGTGAGGGGGTCCATACCTGGCTCAAGAGTTTGTTGATCAACACCTCGCAATTGTAACTCAAACCGCTCGGCCTGCACAACATTGTTAAGATGACGGAGTTGTTTCTTGCGCCAGCTTCCTGCAGAATACAAGTTAGTATTCCACTCCACGTGTGCACGCCAATCTACACGATGAGAWACAGATGCCTGGCGGTTCGACATGTGAGCATAAGCAAATAGGACAGCGTGACCTAGAGGAAAGGTTGGTATAGCACCTGCCATGCCAACGGCAGGAAATCTCGCGAAAGGGGTGGGAAGTATCGGAACATCCCCTTGATTATTTCTCAATTGCAAATTCATTGATTATGAAACGATTGTTTTTTTTGTTTTTTTTCTTATTTGTTTTTTTTCATTTTTTTTATTTTTTTGTCAACTTTTCAATCCAAAGAAAGGAGGTGGGTGCATGAGGTGACAGGACTTTAGGCCCGACGGCTCAGGTCGGGATTCCTGCCGTCGTCCTTTTTGTTTGTTGTTCACAGTCAGCAGCATTGTCAAAGAGGGAGCTTGGTGTAAATGTGAAACTGCGTCTCCSGATGAGTGTGCAATCAGCATAATTGTGCAACCGGCAGCAATGCCAAGAGCCTTACACCGGTAGACCAACAATGTCTACATAAAAATATGTCACCAAGCAACTGACACATGCATGAGCCGGCGTAGAAGGATTATCCCAAAGAACAGGGAACACGAGGTGAGTGGGCATGGAGGCAGCCGCCCGGGTCTGGCCAACCTTAGGCGGGCCGTAACTATACCCACTGCACGGGAAAGGGGTGCAACCAGTGCCCTTGCGGTGACCGCCATCACAATCATATCATGCACTGAAGGAAAAAGTGTACATAACAGTTGTACACAACACATAGACAAGACGGAATGTACATCACGAATGTACATGTAAGGGGTGTACAGCAGAAATGAACATGGTCACAATACCAAGCTTACCAAAAAAGGACAAACAACCATGCAGAACTTTTTGTAACAACATCTGTCATAAGAAGCAATGGAGGAGCTAAGTTCACCATGAAACCAGCCAAATAGGCATACAGCTCCTGCGAAGGAGGCAGGAGAGTCGTTAAGGAAGGGGGTGAGAACAACATAGGAGATAAGAGAAAAAATAGATTGTTTTCCACAATAAAAGTGAGTGTCTGGTTGTACAGGCCCGATGCTCGCCACTCAATCTGCAAGAGCAGAGGGCTAGCAACATCGGAGAATATATTGTCACATCACTACAAACTAAAAGAGCGCACTTTGCGGAACAAAGAATAAAAGCAAGAAACGGGCACAGTGATAACATGCAAAAATAAAAATAAAAACAAAAAGAAAAAACAAAGGCAGATTGAAACCATTAAATTTCTCATTCTTCTTTGAACTCCACCTCCACTGTGCCTCTCACGTGCAAGGCTCGCCACGTTGATGAAGTTGAGCGCGAGCTGGGCCCCATCCCCGTATGCCATAACAGCCCACTTGCACGYTGTGAGAGAGGCAGAGTGAAGGGGAAGGTGTTAAACACAGGGAAAAGCTAAAAAATGAGGCTATCCATAACGAGAGAAAGGACACACATTGTAAGGATGGGGTGGATGAGCGCATGGAAGACCTAACTGAGCATTCTCAAAACAACAACTGCCACGACGRCTGGCATTAAGCATGCCAACCATAAATTCCTGACAAATAGCATGTCTATTGCAGGCCAGAATAAAGGAAGAACGCCCCCCACAAAAGAGCATGCATTCAGCATAGC